AGGGGAAATCACTTGCAAAAATGTGCATACAGTATAAAAGCAACATATGCAATGAAGCTATTGTAAAGGACTTTAACTAAAAAAAAAAAAAACTTGAGGTAAGGAAGGCAGTTCATTTACAACCAGAGGCTAGAGATTGTGTCCCTGCAATGTCCCAAATTCTTTTTGACCTGAGCAATGCTCTGTATTGTGGTGATCTGGCACTGACATGGCACTCAAAGGGTCAGAGGAAGGCAGAAAAACAATGAAGGTCCTAAGCTATTGATTTTGGCTGGCCAGGTGTTGATTTAAATGTTTTTGAATGAATGAATGGATGAATGGATGGATGGATGAATCTGTATGAGAAACTTAACCCAGCACTTGAGAATTTTGTCTAAATACTCAAGTCCAATCCGCTACCTCTGAGCAACCCCCTCTCCCTCAATGTTGATAGAGGCAGAATTGTTTTGCAAGAATGGGGAAAGGACTCTGCCAGTCACTAACCATTTTATTACCAGCTTGTGTGGCATAGCACAAACATCTCGGAGTCCTGTTGGATTGGAGAAGCATAAATGTAAAATAAATAATTTTTCAACATAGTTGGCCATAGTTATGTATGTGTATTTAGAGATGGCTTGGGATTCTTTGTAGTGGGATATCCATCTTCAGACTGGTCCACAGAGATTCACCCACATGCATGCATATATGAATCTGTTCTTCGTAAAATGTACTTTTTATGTTCAATGGATCTGTTCATAATAAAATGTCTTCATCTGGTAAGAGTTCTGCATGTGACCTAGTATAAGAACTAATTTGAAACAGGAGATGTCCTAATCTAATTTTCTTGGAACATCACTTCATGCTGAAAAAAACACAGTCAATAATAATTATCACAGTTTCTGAATCAACAAGGGTATTATTGCACACAATTTAATTTTGATTTTTTTTTTATTTTGAATGTTCATTCCAGACAAGGAACATTTGTATGTTATAATCACAAAGAAAATCAAGAGCACTGAACAATCCAAAAATTACAAACCAACCAGTGATATAGAAACTAATACGCTGAACAAATCTATTCCTCTAGTTTCTCAGAAAATTAGATCTCTGAAAAATATTTCTATTTTTACCTCATTCTTATTCATTTAGAAAGTTTTTATGTCAGGTTTGAAGTTATGCTGTTATTACAAAAAGGCAGAGGAGGCAATGATATATTATTCTTTTCTTTTTCTATTATACTTCCTTCCATTTCTTTGCAATGTCTCTGATTGCCTATACAGTCCTCAAATCATGACCACAACTGAGCCCAAAATTTATGTTGCTAAGTGAGAAATTTGTTAAATGAGATTTGCCCCATTTTGTGATTTTCTTACCATATCTGTTAAGTTAATCACTGCAGTTGTTAAGTTAGTAACATGGTTGTTAAGTGAATCTGGCTTCCCCATTGACTTTGCTTGTCAGAAGGTTGCAAAAGTTGATCACATGACCCCAGGACACTGCAGCCATCATAAATGTGAGCCAGCTGTCAAGTGTCCAAATGTAAATCAGGTGACCATGGGGATGCTACAACAGTCATAAGTGTGAAAAATAGTCATTTTTTTCAGAGCCGTTGTAACTTCAAATGGTCACTAAATGAACTGTTGTAAGTCGAGAATTACCCTTACTCCTCATCTAAAAAAGGGCCATGTGAAGAGTTATTTCATAATGTCTTCCCTTGAAATTTAATCATAATATAAGAAACCAGAGGTTAAAGCCCTTTGAGAGATGATTGTACAATGAAAGATTGGACACTCAATCCTTCCCACTACATCCAATCATGATAGCATTTTCAGTATTTTTTAGTGCAAAATCAATGTATATTTTTCCAAGAGGTTGAATGAGATAATTTGAGAAAAGAACTGAAGAAATATTTGGTGCAGTAAGCCACCAGAGAAGTTTGTAAAATTAGCACTGATAATATTTTTTATCTATCTGTATGCTTATAACTCAAAGAATTTAGTATTCATCCATTTGTAACCCTCCTGTTGATAGAAGAAGCTTGAAATTGTGATGTGGGTCATCTAAACCAGGGTGGAACAGTTCAGACAGTGGGAATGTAGCTTAATCTCCCAACCTTCCTGAGAGATAAAAAGGTCATTTGATGATATGGTGACAACTTAAGCAAAGCCAAAAACATTTTTGGACCAGATAGTTAGCTTTTGTTGGGAATGAGAATAGGAGATTCCTGGGAAGCAAATCCCTGCTGAACTTCGGCCATTTTGCATCATATGTTGTTCATAAAATTTTTGGGTGACACAAAACTGGGGAGTAGGGATTGCTGACACCCCAGAAGGCAGGCTCAAGACTTTAAAAGATCTTGATAGACTTGGACATTGGGTCATATCCAACGAAACCTTGTTCAGGTGTGAAAAATGGAGAGTTAGGCACTTAGTCAGGAAAAACTAGAGGCAAGATAAGCTGTACTTGGCTTAGCAATAGCACTTCTGAGAGGGATATGGATATCTTGGTAGATCACAGACTAAGCATGAGCAAGTAATGTGTTGCAACAGCCAAAGGGGATAATGCATGGGCTGCATTAATAAAGTCATGGTGTCAGGGTCACAGAGAATGATAATATCGAGAGTACCAGATAAGGAGCTTGGAGACTAAATCCTGTGAATAACAATTAAAGGAACTGGGTACATTTAGCCTAGAGAGAAAGATATGGAGACTACTTGATAGCAATCTTCTAATACTTTAAGGGTTGTGATAGGGAAGTAGGTGTAGATTTATTTTCCATAGCATCTGAGATTAAGAAAAGAATCAGTGGGTGAGAGCTTCACACAGGGAGATCCAAACTTGCAATAATAACACTTAGCAATAGCAATTAGACTTATATGGCACTTCACAGTGCTTTACAGCCCTCTCTGAGCAGTTTACAGAGTCAGCATATTGCCCCCAACAATCTGGGTCCTCATTTTACTGACCCCAGAAGGATGGAAGGCTGAGTCAACCTTGAGCCGATGAGACTCAAACTGCCGAACTGCTGGCATCATCATTGGGGGTTTTCAAACAAAGTTTAGAGAGTCATTTGCCTGGGATAGTATGAGGATACCTGTGCAGGGCATAGACAATGGTTGTATCTAGTTGCTCAAGTTTTCAAAAGAAATGCAGTGTTATTTATCATGAATAAAAGATGGAAGTTTTCAGGCTGATATAAATGACTCAGATAAGCCTCAACTACAGATAATTTTGAAGGGCTGGCCCAAATTCTTTGGGATCTTGAATAACTTACTCATCTGTTAATATAAAGGTAGTCGTTGACTTATGACCATTCATTTAATGATGGTCAAAAATTATGACAGCCTTGGAAAAAGGACTTATAACCCATCTTCAAAAGTACAACCATCAAACATGCACCCTGAAGTCATGTGATTGCAATTCAGGCTCTTGGCAATCAGCTCACATTTATGACAGTTGTAGCATCTTACAATTATGTAATTGTGATTTGCGATCTTCTCAGCCAGCTTCCAACAAACAAAGTCAATTGGATAAGCTGGATTCACTCAGCAATCATGTCATTTGCTTAATGAGTGTGGTTAAAAAAATTGTCATAAAATAGGTCAATGACACGATGATGCACTTAATGACTGCATCATTCTGTTTCCAATTGTGGTCATAAATCAAGGACTACCTGTAAGAGCATATAAAATGTTCGGCTATGAAAAATCGAAAACAGCATTTCGCTGTTGTTCAAATCTGTATAAAGGTAAAATCAGTTTTGTAAACTTGCTGATCCATTAATGGATTTGTTTTCTTTCTCTGTCTTTCATAAGGTCAACCCAAATAAAAACGTACTCTTGGGACAATGCCCAGGTTATTTTGGTCGGCAATAAATGTGACATGGAAGAGGAACGTATAATCTCTGCTGACAGAGGCAAACATTTAGCAGAGCAACTTGGTAAGAAAAATCCTGACAGCAGGGAATTCTGCAACCATTCTGGAGAAGGTTTGCCCATCCTTCTCCTCCATACTTGTCTGGATAGAACTTCTGAAAAGGGTTTATACATTTATAATGTAATGTGCCTAGTTCTCTTGATAGCCAAAGAAAATAAACTAAAAAAAAGTATGGCTGTCAAAATAGATCAAACAGAATCTTCCAATATAGATCAAACTAGTTATTTGAGACTGAAATGATTCTGATCTTCTATGCCATCCTGTGCTATTTTTTAAAAAGGAATACAGTGTGTAATAAAGATGCCAGATAAAGAGATATTGAATGTCTGAGGAAAAATTCCATATAGTTGGGTGCGGGACTATTTGGAGTATTTTCTCCTCCCATAAATAGTTGTCTAGTACTTAACCCTCATCAGAAGAACTCTAATCCCATTCAACAAGTATAGTAGAGGAAGCTTCTCAGTATAGTTTTGTATTCTTCATCTAATGGAGGATTGATAGCAGAAATGGTGGAACGTGTTCTTATCCCCATTTTCCCCAGTGCATTCTAATTGCTGAGGAGGTCATAATGTCTGAATGCTACCTCTTGCCCCAATTCTGGCCAACTTCTATTTAACAAAAGAGCTTTGATATCTATCAATATTTCCTTGAGAGAAAGGGAGGTTTTGAAAATGGTGTTGATCTGCCCACTCCTCAAGAAGTTTATCCTAGATTCAGTGAATATGAATAATTCCCATTCTATGTCCACCTCCCCTTCTTGGAAGGGTAAGAGAGAAACTGATATAGCTGCAGTTACTGCAAGCTTTGGTGGCTACAGATGATTTTAACTACTCAGAATCTAGTTGGAGTGAAGAGGTGCACATATATAATATAGTACATACAAGGAGACTTTGTTTAGCAACTGTTTGCAGTTACATTGGTGATGAAAAAGTAACTTTATGACCAGTCCTTGAGTTTATAAACTTTGCAGACCTGTAAAGCAAAAGACATCTAAGTAAGATCCCAAGCATTAGAGTCCTCTCGGTGAGAGGGGTGGCATAGAAACAAACAAGCAAGCAAATAAACAAATAAATAAATAATAAAGCACAGCTGCAGTTTCACAAGCTATGTAAAAATGAAGGTGACCAACTTTAGAGAACTCAAAAACATGCATACTAACCTTTGCAATCCTTGATTTCATCTAATGAAAATATTTATTCCCTATTGAAGAGCCTGTTTGGTGTAATGGATAAGGCAACAGGCTAGAACTCTGGGAGATTGGGAATTCTAGTCCCACCATAAAGCACAAAGCCAGAGGGAGGATCTTGGGCCAGTGTCTCTTTCTTAGCCCTAGGAAACAGACAATAGCAAATCTGTTTAAAATTTTGCCAAGGAAACTGCAAGGGCTGGTCCAGGGTGTCAACAAGAATTAACAATGGTGTGAAGCTATCCCCTTATCCCTAATGCGTTGGTGCATAGCTTTAGATATGAAGGAAAATAATGCTCTGGAGTCTATCTGGATGTGACTGTAAAACCTGTCAGTGCCTCTGTACACTAATCAGATCCTTACTCAAGATTATGCAAAGCCAACTGCACAATCCAGGGGGAAGACACAGCTTCTATAAAGATTTGCTAGCAGGAGTTACATATGTTATTACAGTTCTGAAGTCCTTTTTATCTGTTCAAATCCAGAGCATTGTCCTACCCTCTAATATGGATTTTGGATTTCATCACAATATACTATAGATCAGGGGTCCCCAACCGCAAAGTCCATGGACTGGGACTGGGCAAAAACATACTAGAAACCGGGCCAGTCAAACAAGCAAAGCCCTATTTACAGGATGCAGGAAGCACATAAAACTACATCACCTCCAGTCTGCGGAAAAACCTTTCTCCACGGAGCTACTCCTTGGTGCCCAAAAGGTTGGAGGCTGATGATCTAGATGCAGTCCATGGTTAGCTCTCTACTTTCCCACAAAGATGTGAAATAATAAGAAATTTATGGAGCTGGCTTCTTTCTCCTAGTCACGTGGGAAACCAATATGTCAATCATTGTTTTAGCTAGTCATCAACTTACAATCATAATTGGGATTAGAATTTTTGGCCATACTATGTGACCACACCTGATTTTACAACTATTTTTATGATAGTTATTAAATGAATTATGACATGAAACAAATCCGGCTTCTCCAATGGGTGTTTTTTGCCAGAAAAACTGCCAATAAAGGTCACAAATTGCAATTATGTGATAGCAGGATCCTCTAACCAATCATAAATTTGGTCTGGTTGCCAAATGCCCGAATTTCAGTCATGTATTTGCAGGGGTGATGTGACAGTGTACAATGGTTGTAAGTGCAAATACAGCTAGTAATTCATTTTTTTCTGAGGCTATTGTAACTTTGGACCATTATTTAATAAATACTGTAAGTGGAGGACTAGCTATATATTACATTTACCTTACTGATTTCCTTAGTTCTTTCATTTCCATTACTGTTTTCAGCTGCAATCTATAAACCTTACTCAAAAGAGAGGGGATTAAAGTTTGATGATATGAGTGTTTTTGGTCTGTTTCACTAGGTTTTGAGTTCTTTGAGACAAGTGCCAAGGACAACATCAATATCAAGCAGACTTTTGAACGGCTTGTGGATATCATCTGTGACAAAATGTCTGAAAGTCTGGAGACAGATCCTAATATTGCTGCTGGTAAACAGAACACAAGACTAAAGGACACCCCTCCACCACAACAACCCAACTGTGGCTGTTAATAACATCATTGTCAACCAAGGCAACTCCAGTGTGTTCTTTGGCCAATAGAGTATTTACATAGGTCTATATGCCTTTATTTATAATGTCTTACTGGTTCATTTCAGAGGAGTATACCTCTTCTTTAATGTCCATTCCTGGTAAAAGATGTATTCAGAGTTACAAATGTGTAAAGAAAGGACACTCTAATTCCTCTGCATTTGGCCTCAACACTTAGATGGCTGCTTGTCTTCTCTGTGATCTTTCCCTTTCTTCCTTCTAAATCTATCGCTGCCTCAGATGGTGCTGTGATGACCTCAGTCACAAATTCTATCTGGTTTTTATTCTTCCATCGTCCATTTTCAGTTATTGCTATTTATTCCAGGGCAATGAGCAAGTAGTTCAGAAATATGACTTCTATTATTTAGCATTCTGGATCAATGTAAAAACTGCTGAAGTGTAACAATGCAATTCTGCAATTGCAACCATAAGTAGTCCCCAACTTATAATGACAATTGTGAGCAGCAAATGCTAAGTGATGCAGTCGTTAAGGGAATTGTGTCTGATTTTTTTTTTTAATTGAATTTTGGAAATTTTACAAAAAGAAAACAACCCATCCCCAAACCTCCCCAACCCTCCCATTCCCTCCCCCGACCTTCCCAGAGCTGAACATAGGCTTAATTGAAATTTCTTCAAAAAATCTTAAAAAAAATATAAACCATACTAAATACATTAATTAAACAAATTATAAGTTAATTAACAATAATATATATATATAAAAACATAAATACCAAAAGAATAATACTTAAAAGAAAAAAGAATAAAGAAAAAGAAAAAGAAAAAAGAAAAAGATAAAAGAAAGTATAATAAAAATAAAAGATAAAAATAAAAAAAGGAATAAAATCTATAAGATGTTTTAAATTTTAAATATAAGTTATTGAAAAACTAAATAATATTTTGTAATATCCAACTTATATTGTATAAAATCTATCCATTTTTTCCATACGGCAAAATACTTCTCCTGCGATTGATCCTTCAAGAAAGCCGAAATCTTTGCCATTTCCGCCAAATAAGAAACTTTAAAAAACCACTCTTGCAAAGTAGGCAAAGATTCCTTCTTCCAACATTGCCCTACTAGCAGCCTTGCGGCTGTAATTCAATTTAACATCAATGTGGTCTCTTTAGTGTCACAGGAATTGTGTCTGATTTTATTAACCTTTTTCCCACAGTCATGAAGTGTGTCATGTGGTCATTAAGTAAATCTGGCTTCTCCCGTTGTTTTTGCTTATTGGAAGCCCTCTGGGAAAGCCACAAATGGTGATTAGGTGACCATGGGAAACTACAACCATCATAAACACATGCCAGTTGCCAAGTGCCTGAATTTTGATCACTTGACTGCAAGGACACTGGGACACTCGTAAACGCAAAGACCTGTTCTGACTTTGAATGGTCGTTAAACAAATGGTCGTAAGTTGAGGGCTATCTGTATATTATTTAGATAACTTGCCAGAAGATGAGTGGCACCATGTGGCAGGGATCTGGCACTTTTAGAGAAATCATATGGTGTCCCTAATTAATTACAGGCATGCCAGGCTCTCATTTTCATTATAAGTGAGGTCTCCTACTCAGAGCCAAGTTTCGCAAGTTCAGCCATAGGCTTTGCAAAAACCTGTTGCCTGCCTATTTCTAACTGGATTTTTTTGATCATCAACACTGATTGTTTGGCAAGGTCCCGTCCATCATTAGATCAGAACTTGTCCATACAGTCATTCTGAAGCCTTAGATGCAACTCCCAGGGTCCCTCCCAAAGTTTCCATCACATTGATTCTTAATGTGACTTAATTAGAAAATTATTAAATATTATACATCTAGGGCAATTCCATTGCTTGCATATGATTTTCATATATTATTTTCTTTCACTATCATTTCCTACATTATCATTTTCATTTTCATTCATTTAAAATGATGTCAGATTTTAATTTTTGTTCTAGTTGCCCATTTCTTTGCTCTGCTCCACCAATTCACTGTAGTTCACCATGGATACCCAGGTAAAGTGGACTCATAACCAGACACTATTGCACAGTCCTTATTTAGATCACCTTTATGCAATTTTAACTCATTTAAAATTAACTTAGTTTTGTTAAGAAAAACCAATATATATTCTGTACTGATCACATGGAGAGGATTGTTAAGAAAGATAGACAGATTGAAGGAGGTCTGTATGAAGCAGACAAAATCCTGTTTAAATTGTCAATGTGATTCAGAAAATTGATCCAATTTTATTCCAATACTCAATCAAATAAATTACATTTATTCAAGTTAAATTTTGGAAACCATTTGGAGAAAGTTTCCAAATCATCTGAAAAGATTTAGAGAATTCCAGTCTGATTCAAGTAGAACTGACTGTCCTGTTTCATTTGGAAAACAAGTTTAATTTATATGTCCATACGTGAATAATAAAATGTAACATGTTATTTTTCCCCATAGTACCTCTTCTCGTTAGAGAAAAGGAGAAAGCAAGATTCTAACTGCAGATATTTGGATTCTTACAGCATCTAAGGAGACTGTAAAAAAGCTTGTGAGATTTCAGTATTCCAGCATATTATCTCAGGGGATTTGATTTGGAGCATTTCTTTAAAAAACAAATTAAAAATAGGGACTCACACTATCATATGAAATGCACAATGGTGCCTGGCATCTAGAAAGCAAGTGCTGCCCCCTACTTGCACTATACAAAATATTTTAAGATTTCCAATACAGTTTGTATGTTTGTTTCCATATCAGACATAGACATATAAAATTAATGCAGTCAATCTTTAAAGGGCTTAGCAAGTTCATTCAAAACAATTCTTTACAAGTACATATAATACCTGAGTGATGGGATGCTGCAGGTAATAATACGAATAGCATCAACACATAAGAAACATAATAAGAGGAAAGTGATTTAGATGTCTTTTCATATCAGTTTTATATATATGGAATCTATGATCTTTAAATGCATTTTTATATTGTCCCTATGGAATATACTTGGTCATGAAAGAGTAAATCATTAAACCTTTTAGTTTTCTAAAAGTGCAGCCAAAAGTTACCAGCATGATGATGCTGAAGATATCTGCAGGGATCCTGTTTTACAGTGGTAGTCATTTATTAATTGATTAGTCTTACAGCCATATCAAAAACTGTTACAGTAGATGTGCATCTCATGTTTCATTGCCATAGAAGCTCTCCTACAAGCTTAGGTCAGCAGCTTCAACATTTCTTTTTTCCTTTATATTGGTCATTACATGGTTATAAAACATTGTGAGGACCATCACATAGAAACAAGAGTCAGCAAGGCAGTAGCTGTGACTATAATGTGTCCATGGAACTCATGTTTTTAAAGACCACCCTTATAATTTTTGTGTGATACATTTATTCTAAAGAAATATGATTATAGTGGAGACTCTTCTATTGAATAACTATATTTCTGATTCTTAAAACTAGATTCCCTATTTCTCATGGGAAAGTCATTTTTCTGTTCTTATAAAATTTTGTTTTCCCTTTCCATTCCACTTTCATTAATATCATCAGGAGCTACATAAAAAGGTCTTGACTGAATAATTAGTTTTTAGCAATAATTTGACCCTGAATTGTGATTATTTTCTTCTAACTTTTAAGAATATATAAATTTGGATGGTTTCTGATTACTATTATTATTTAACAACACTAGTAGCAACAAAATATTCAACAATCACAAAAATAGACTATATCAAATGATTATAAAATCTCTGGATGAATTTACCAGGACAATGTGCCAAATATTTTAATTATAGTCCCCTGTGCCAAGATATTTACTTCACATTATTTTAATTAGTTGTCTTTCTGGAAGTAGGAAGCAATTTTATCTCATCCTGCATGTTCCATCTTCACCACTACATTGGGTCAAAAGCCTTCAAATTAGTGTGGCTCCCAAATAAATATTAGATGTTTATCATTCTTCAATATATCATATTTTAAATATTAATTAAATTCCAGGTTGATCAATCAAGAGTAATAGATTGAAGTTAAAAACATAGTTAATTGCAAGAAAACACCTTCCATGTATCTGATTGTTGTTGCTACAGAAGGAAAATAAGATTTAACCCAATCTATCCCATGTATAGATGAATTTCTAGAATTCCTGGCCAACATAACCATGGATGCATATTATTAGGGGAAGCATATTTATTTTGGCCCTGCTTATTTATATATGTGTGACATATTGTGTGACATATATATACATAAAAGTACCCTTATTACTAGCTTCTCTTTTTTTCTTTCCCACTTCAGATTGGTGCCCAGATAATTAAAATGTATGTATCTGGAACTAAACTCCTTCAATGCTAAGAGATTGTTACAAAAACATGCAAATACACAATAAAGAGTATTTGGACATTCAGTATCCATACTTTTTATATAGTTCAGGCAACCCTTACACTCCTAATACTGTCTTCTTGTCTTAACTTGGCCAAATGTTGCAGAGCATCCTTTGATTTTGGCCTCTCTGGGCCCATTAATATATTTCTTTAGCTGGAAACTATATTGTGGAGGAGGAGAATTTTACTCTAGAGTAAGTGCAAAAGTCTAATTCAAATCAAGACCTAAGAGAAGGGGAGGGGAAATTAAATTTTTGTTCCCCACCATGATCCTGACTTGACCACCAGTTTCCTGCAATTTTTATTGCCAAGTGACAACTTTGGGCCAGGATAAACTACAGCACAGGGGCTGCATTCAGGGTCTACATTCAGACTAGAATGTAGAAATTAGCTGTTTTTTAAAAAAGTAAATGTAGTTTAGACTTGATGGAAGCAGTAAATATGTGTGTAGGTTGTGCCACTTCAGCCTGTAGGTGGAGGCTTTTATATGCATGATATTTACATTTTTTCCTAGTATACATAATCTGGTATGCAACCTTCTGAAGTACAGTATATGCATTCTATGTACAAGTGACATTCGTTCCAAAGAAGGGTATAATCCACAGGATAATATCTTCTTTTCTGTAAATAAAGTGCAGGCTGTTGATTCATGTAAAAGTTACAGACCAAACTAAAATTTCCTCTATCATTAGTTAAAACAATAATAATGAGTTTACTGCTGTTGGTCCATGATTCCTACTGAATCAACTTTCTTTGGATATATCGGATCTTTTAAATGCACTAAAAATCATTTAAGAATATTACAAGATTACAAAAATCAAATCAAAGTTTA